TGAAATTTTGAAAGCAGATTGCCAGGCTTTTACTTCAAAGGTGTATCTCAGGGAGTCTGAACCACCAACCTTTTGATTAGTAGTCCAGTGCTTAACCATTTGTGTTACCCAGGGACTCCCAGAAAAGTATTACTACCCAACACTGGCTAAACAGAACTAATTCCAAATGACATTTACCCCTTCATACAAATGATCGATGCTTATCTTGATTGTTATGAGATTAAAGCAGATGTAATCAAAGTCCAACAGATCAAAGTACAAGATTTACTCAACTTTACATCCTTGGAATCTATATACACAGTACACACAAAAAATGATTTTCTAGACTGACCCCATCCTAGCTAGCATTTAACACCAATATAAAAATATTTTAATTCAAATTTAACTTTATTTCACCATTCTTATTTAAAGCTTGATTTTATCAAACATAGAAAGATATTTTGAAAAGGTTTTCTATCACAGGAAACAAAACAGAAGAAACATCCATAGCTTCATAGGTACAAGTTATATAAATTAAGTAATTGGAATTTTTTTCAACATGGCAACTATACATCTAAATAAATGGTGGAAGGACCTCACTGTTTCATTAGTTATGGATTATATTAGTTATTTTCAAGATCTAAACAAAGATTATGAATACTCAGACTTCTTTTGCTATAATTTACAATTAAATATCATCCCACCTATATTCTGACTCAAACTACATGACCAAAATGCCTTATTAGGAAGATATTTAGCTTTATACTGAAAGTTTTTCCAACCATGGTTACTACTTTCAAAGAAATTGACATTACAATGCTGATGAAATCTGCTGGTCCTCTTTTGTACAATGTGCAATATTCTTTTCTGCTAATCTATTTAGCCAAATATATTAATGAGGGAATGATACCATATCTCCTCTGAGTCATGATGTCAACTCCATGGAACATTATACAAGTACAAAAATGGATTATACACAGGTCAATAGAGTATAATGTTGTTTCCCCCATCTAAAAATTACTCAATGGAATAAAACATATCAACTTATAGTTGACTTAGTTTCAGGAAAACACATTTGAGAATTGCAAATACATTCTTTTTCTCATCTAATCCCTCAGTCATTGACAGGAATT